TGCTATGTAGCCTGTGCCAAGCCAACCCTGGCTTTGTTTGTAACCACATGCATTACACCTGGGTAAATTGCGTTCGTAAGAGCCTGCGTCTCACGGAGTCTTTATTCAGTGTTGAATGCGCAACTCTTACAGTGTATATGTGTGTGTGTGTGTGTGTGTGTGTGTGTATATATATATATTTATTTTGTAAAGATCTTTTACTATTTTATCATTTTTTATGTGTAAGCCACCTAGTGTCACTAGTATAGTGAGATGAGCAGTGAATAAATTTGCTAAATAAATTAAATAAATAAAAATAATATTTATACACACACACACACAAATATTTAAATCAAATTTGTAATAATAAAATTTCTTTATGTATTAGTTATATCTGGTTCCTATCTGATTTGAATGTGTTGCTGTATTAATAAAAAAAAGACTTATGTAAACATATGTGGTTTTCTAAGTTAATATGCAGCCCAGAGGGATCCTTAGTTGCGGTTTAGTGGCCCCGTTTCTATTTGAGTTTGACACCATTGCTCTACACCACCTCAGTCTCCTCTCCCACAGGTAAAGAACACCCTGGAAGAGTGTTACAGGAAGAACCACAAACTCATTCCCTCCAACCCTCACTTGGCAGCTCTGCAAGGTCACTAGACAAGTCCTGCAGTTCAAAAGGTGATGAAACTGGAATGTTTCCCACCATCACCAACACACCAACCAAGTATTTCCTGCTACACAAAGTCTTACTCTGCAGAATTCATTATGGTGGGAAGCAGAGAGTCCTCTCCATCCTGGGGCTTATTGTCTATTGGCAATGCTGGCAGATCACAGGGACAGGACTCGCATGAACTTTTAAATGAAACGTGTGTTTAAGGCATTATAAGGCTCTCAGACATCTGTCATGCTTCCCCACGATTTCTCAGATTCAGAGTAGCCCTTCCAGTGAATCAAACATTCCAATAGTTTCTCCTGCATCTAGAGTTCAGAATACATTCATACTCTTCTCCATCCAACAGAATGGGAGGAGAAACATGGAAGAACAGCATTAGAATGAGTCACCCCTTTGAGGTAGTTCAGATCAGAGAATCATGGCCAGAGACTGGGAGTGGGCCATTCTCAGGGAAGGAGAGTCTGGCATCT